ATGTTAGCAAATTGGAGCCAGGTTTGGAAATGTTGGTGAAATGGAGCCAGGTTTGGGAATGTTGGTGAAATGGAGCCAGGTTTGGGAATGTTGGTGAAATGGGGCCAGGTTTGGGAATGTTGGCGAAATAGAGCCAGATTTGGGAATGTTGATGAAATGGAGCCAGGTTTGAGAATGTTGGTGAAATGGAGCCAGGTTTGGGAATGTTGGTGAAATGGAGCCAGGTTTGGGAATGTTGGTGAAATGGGGCCAGGTTTGGGAATGTTGGCGAAATAGAGCCAGATTTGGGAATGTTGATGAAATGGAGCCAGGTTTGGGAATGTTGGTGAAATGGAGCCAGGTTTGGGAATGTTGGTGAAATGGGGCCAGGTTTGGGAATGTTGGCGAAATGGGGCCAGGTTTAGGAATGTTGGTGAAATGGGGCCAGATTTGGGAATGTTGATGAAATGGAGCCAGGTTTGGGAATGTTGGTGAAATAGAGCCAGATTTGGGAATGTTGGTGAAATGGGGCCAGGTTTGAGAATGTTGGTGAAATGGAGCCAGGTTTGGGAATGTTGGTGAAATGGGGCCAGGTTTGGGAATGTTGGTGAAATGGAGCCAGGTTTGGGAATGTTGGTGAAATGGGGCCAGGTTTGGGAATGTTGGTGAAATGGGGCCAGGTTTGAGAATGTTGGTGAAATGGAGCCAGGTTTGGGAATCTTCATATAATTGATTCTTTTTATTGAATTGAAGATATTCAAGGCCTGGAGTTCAAATGTTGGGCAGCTTTGGAAATGTTTTCATCAAGATAGGATAATTATCCAATATCCTTTAAACATTATATACCTAGTATCATATCAAATGCTCAACTTAAATATTTATAAATACAACAATTGCAAATCATGTTTTAAGTATGTATCAATCACCCCCTAATACAAGTGCTTACTACAGTTGTTGAAAATTACAGAATGTCAGTGTTATCTCGGACTTTCCTCCACCATCCAAACCTGGCACATCCATAAACGACCTGGCTGTTAATAGGACATACATCAATGATATACCAAACAAAGTCAGGTTATCAGTTCACAAACCAGTGATACAGTCATACTGTAGATCTTCTTAGCAAAAATGTTGTTTCTCACAGACACATCCTCACTGAACATCATTAATCATGCTGCTGTTGATTAGACAAAATTACAAAAATGTCTGAAATTTAAAAAAAGAATCTGGGGACTTTCTTCCTTTTCTTCATTTCTCCTATCAAAAGTTACAAATGGACGGCATTAAAATGACAGATGAAAACCTTGATAAGGGAACTATAGTCCTTTATTTTACAGAAGAAGTAAGTATACCGACCAAATCAAGCAGGAAAGAACAAGCTCATTACCAAGTCAAGCAAGGAAGGAAAAGCTCATTACCAAGTCAAGCAAGAAAGGAAAAGCTCATTACCAAGTCAATCAAGAAAGAACAAGCTCATTACCAAGTCAAGCAAGAAAGAACAAGCTCACTTTCAAGTCAAGCAAGAAAGAACAAGCTCATTACCAAGTCAAGCAAGAACGAACAAGCTCATTACCAAGTCAAGCAAGAAAGAACAAGCTCATTACCAAGTCAAGCAAGGAAGAAAAGGCTGTGAAATAATGTTCCTTCTGATAATTACTAAAGCATTGGTGTATGATTTTCCACTTATCACTTATCTTACCATTATCTATGGAAGCAGTAGCTGAACTGTACATATTGTAGATAGATGTCAGATCACACCAGGTGTAATCAGTAACACACTTTACTGTTTGATCCCAGGTGGAAATGCTTGACTTGATAGGTACATAGTTTTACATAATTTTATGTTAATTAGTTCAATAGCTTTATATTTATTGTTCGCTCAGTTCTAACACCAGCAGGTTTCCTAATATCTTACCATCACTTGACTTTATAATGAAATTATAAAGCACAACTTTCACTGACTTTTCTTTTCTTCCAAGGGTTATTTTGAATCAATGAAAATGATGTTTAAATTTGTAAGGCCTTTATTGACTTTTAATTTGTGAGAATATCTTGAGAAGGTGGTGTTACATTGTAAAATCTGGATCTTGTGTCTTTCTACTCTGACACCAGAGTATGTGGGTAGGTGTTGGACTTTGAATTGTTCCACAACACTTTCTCTGCTTCTGTGGAATTGCTGGATAAATTCAGAGGAAAAGTAGTTCCCTGTTATTTTATTTTAAATATTGATTTTTAAAAGAATTTCCAGGCAAATTCTGCTTAGAAATGCTGACGTTAATCTGTATTTAGATCTTCAATTTTTTATTTAAATGTTGGGGATTGTTAAGGATTGTTAAGGACTGATGTAGAGTTACTTTGACAAGGAGAACAGATTACACTGGTGCCTTTGATTGGGGTTTCCGGGACAATGTGTTAATGGACAGTATAATGAAATATCTATGTAGTCCTGACAATAGACATTGGTGGACAAAGGCACTCATTGTTAGGTCCCGTTAACCATATAAAAGTCAGCTGGAACAGTTATCTTGGAATATTGGGATTCATTGACAAGTTACATAAAAGTAATTACTAGATTGTACAGACCTAAATATCCCTGTTCAGAATCAATATTGTTATCCATACAGAAACTGGGCTCCATATTAGCAGCTTTTGTACAACCACAATAGACACACAAGCTCATTCAGGTTCTATTGTATTAGGACTCAGCAATTTAGTTTATAATGACAACTGTCAAGTTGCAAAAGCATGGTTAGGTTCTATATCTGAAAATTCTGTATAAATTTCTTGAAAAATTAATTAGAGAGGGTTCAAAATAAAACAGATAATTGAAGAACCAACTGTTGATATGCTGTTAAAAAACGATGAATATTTGAGGATAATTATAATTTTTGATTGGGATGTTTGATGTCTTGCTGTTGGACAGACCAGGGTGGTGTAATGCTATAATTAGGGGATAGCTTTAGAGTGCTTGTCACCTTGTTATTAGTTATCATCTGGTCAATACTAGTTAAAAAGTCCCCACCAGGAGTGAAAGACACCGTCCTCGATCCTCAGAGAAGTAGCCAACTCTCCAAGGGGTAAGGGACTCAAGAAGTAACGGGTAAAGGACTCTCTAAGGTGTTAAAGATAAGGGGGCGTGGAGGTTTAATCATTTGGTCGACTTGTCAGTCATAATGGCCCCGAGTTCCTTGACCAGGTGGTCAACAAGGTTGATACTGATGGCATTAGGTCAATATTCTGCTCTCATCACCATTTTATACTCACAACTTCACAAATTAGAAATATACGGTCAATTTTCAACATCACTGCAAATAGGTCAAGTTTTTGTCTTTCTTAGGTCATCTGTATATTCAAAATTCTGAACACTCTGACATTTTTTGGTCGTCTTTGGTCAGATAGTTACACTAGAGATTAGTTAGACTTAACACACTGATAGAGTTGTGGACATGCAGGGTCAATAGATGAAGAGATGTGGTCAGTCTGAATGTTCAATTACCACACAATACCATGACAAGCCATGATCAACAGCTGGACTTCTACATAATAATCAGTTCAGGCCATGATCCTCTTTGCTTAAAATCTTTTTAGAGTAGGGAGCGTTTCATATCATGGTGTTGAATGTTTTCAGAATATTGTAAGGAAAATATTTGGAATTCTGACTTATGTGACTAGATTGTACAAAAGAAGCGCATCTTCATTGATAATTAACATCTTAAAGTGCCAAGGATAGAAGATTCTGATGTAATAGTATCATATGTCATTTTACAGAAAGAACTGTGTTCCTTCAGGTAAGAATTGATTTAATGTGAATTAAATTAATCATTGCATCCTCTATTAAAAATCAAATTTATGATGTTTGTTTCTTAAAATTTTATAGATACACTCTTTATGCAATATTTCCATTTTTCTTCTTCTCAAAACAGAAAACAATAGATATTACAAATTTGTTACTGTAAATAAGATTTATGTAAATGTTTGAAATTTGGAAATTGCACAATCTGCTATTTAGATTTTGGAGTCACCTATTCATGTTACGAGCTTAAGGTTTTAAACTGTCAGTTTATTGTCAATAAAATTTCAGGTAGATTTGACAAAAAGAGACACTAAAAGAATAAAAAAAAAACACTGATAGGTAATGACATGGTCACAAAATTATTACGAAATTTCCTTTCAATAAGATCTTGTCATTGTATTCTAAATTTTTTTAAAATATTTTTTTTTCAAATGTCAAATCAAATCCAAAATGACTGAATTGACAAATTGGAAAGAGGATATGTATAACTTGTTAAATATGATGCTTGAGACATGCTTAAAAATGATTCTTTTCCAAAAGAGGAATATGTAATGAAATATTTCCTTGTCAAAATGTACAGTCTTCGTCGAACAGAAACCATGTATTCCAGCATATAACCTTTTCAAATTCCAAAAGTTTGAAATTGTAAAAGGATGTTGGAAGCCATTGTTGTCATTTGAAGATGTAGAACGCATTGTAACTTAGATACCATTAAAATTTCTAAAGATATGTGAGCTGTTGACCTTTACCAACACATCTGTGAGACGTAGAACAAAAATATTAGTAAAGAGCAACTGTCAGATCACTAATGCGTAGGTAGAACTACAAAGTTTATTCCTGTATCTAAGATATGTAAAGATCCAATTACAGAAAAGTAGTTTTGGCTATGTAAAAAGTTAATTAAAAACTTCATAAATTAAAATTTTGAATATTGCATTAATACCAGAATTTGAAACATACATACAAAAATATCAAGTAAATTCGTAGAAACAAAATTGGAAGACTGAGTTTCAGTACTCGGAGTGTTAGACTTGTACTTAAACAAACCTGGTAGGGGAAGTGTCTTGTAGTACATTGTACATAGGAAAAAAATGGGTTATCCGTATCCTGCTTTGGTAGCAGGCTGACTCAGAAATTGGCTCGTGTATGGATTTCTCTGGGAGTCTGTTAAAGATACACAGAAGCAGTCAGCAGTACCACCAGCTTGAGGTGCCTTTAGCAGCCCTACAGGCACACAGTACTACTAGCTAACTCCAGCAAAAACTCCACTGCACACAACTTTTTCATTTTTATATTTGTCACTAGAGGGAGACACTGGTTATTGGACACGAACACTGACATAGGAGGCAATTTGTAGTTTGTTTCATGCTGTTTGGTGATTGGTGGAGCAGTGGTACCAGGACACTAGTGACACTCTGTGGGTTCTTACTGACAATGCTACCAGTGCTTTGAGTACTTCTGCCACTTCCTTTAAACCAGGATTCTGTCACTGTGACGTTTTTTTCCGGAGACTTTGTTACAAAATTTAGGTAGGAATTGTGTAATGTAATTTAGAACTTTACCCTCTGATTTGGAATAAATTAGTTCTCAATGTTCGAACAATTTTAAACTGAAGTTTCGTAAGTGTGTAAATACCTTTCAATGACCTTAGGTTTATGAAGTTGACCAGTTGGTGGAGAGGTGTTTGTGTGACAGAACACAAGAGGGCAGTCAGCATACAGATTCCGGATTATATATAGGACTGCTTCTCAAGTAGACCAAACATTTACCTTCCAATTGTGGATACTCAAAAGAATACCATGAGGGTAAGTATTGTCATGGTAACAGAAAATTCTATCGTTCTTAGGTTACTTCAGGATTTTTGTCCATCATCATTTATGATTTTTAAATTATCTCAGATTCTGATAGACTTATTTATATTACCTGTAGGTACAATGTAAGATAAAAGCTTGATGATTATAGTGGACAAGAAATTTTCTATCAGCTGTTGATAATTCTGCTGTTATTATTGACTGTCAACACTCACATTAATGTAATATATTGTCTTAACTAAAAGCCATTTTTATTTTTTATCATGATTTAAATACATTGTATCATCTATACTGAAGGCAGTATTTATCAAAATAGCTATCAGTATGTTGTAGTATAGAAAATGTAATGCCTTCTTTTCCGGTAATGTGAATTTTGAAAATTAATGAAACAGCTATATACATCAACGTATCTGAAATTTGTTGTTGAAAATCAAATAAGCCCTCCATTAGTATATCAAACGTCTGATGTGTTTTTTATTAATGACTTTCTGTATCAGTCCTTTTTACACTTTCATATAAATATCTATCATTTGTCATAGATATCTCTCATATGTATACATTAAACATACATATTTGTATCGTTGTCAATTGATAATATTTAAGATGTGTTCAGAAGTTGAGACAGAAGAAAGATTATTCCAGGATATGTAAAAATCAAAAGAATGTTACATATAGATCTCAGGTGCAGCAAAATCACCATATCAGAAAAAGGGATAACGTTGATTTTGTTACAAAAAATATCAAAACATGTGTGCACCTTAATTTTCTGTGAAATAAAATCCACTTATATTATATTCAACCTTTAAAATGTTTTCATGATGTATACAATATCCACTGGTTCCATTAATGCTCACCTGGTTCTGAGGATGCTTTGAAATTCTTTATTTTCTCTAATCATACTTGTCGATGAACATTAGTTATAATGCTTAATTAAATGCTAGAAAAAGGCTGGTGGTAGGAAGGATCATACATATTACAGATACTTCTGTTTAAGGTGATATTTATTCCATAACTCAAAGAAGGAAACATTTGACAGAACAAGATATTCTTCAAGAAGGTTTTTTAAGCTCACACAGTATCAATATAACTCTAAGTTGAGCATTTTCATAGCTTCTGAAGGTACATTTCAATAAAAATTAGTACACTTCCTGAAAAAAAGAATGTAGACTGTGATACTGGCCATTTTTGAAAATGCTGCTTGCTTATATGCTAGTGTTATGTTCTAGTGCTGAGACAACTTGTATCACAGAAATTAACAAGTTAATATCTATTGTCCAAATACTTCAATTCTTGATAGATATAAAATCAAAATAGGTGTGTATGTTATTAAAGTCAAATGTATTGTGCTTGGACAGACAGTAGTCAATTGTAATTAAAAACCCAACTGAACATGACAAACAGTATTCAAATGTGATAAAAGATCACTCAGTGATGATACACAAAAAATAAAAAAAACTTGACTGTGATACAGAGTACTCAAATGTAATAAAAAAAGACTGGTCCATTGTGATACAGAGTACTCATTTGTATTAAAAAGACATTTCCACGGTGATACAAAGTACTCATTTGTAATAAATGGACTTTTCCATTGTGATACACAGTACTCATTTGTATTAAAAAGACTGGTCCATTGTGATACAAAGTACTCATTTGTAATAAATAGACTTTTCCATTGTGATACACAGTACTCATTTGTATTAAAAAGACTGGTCCATTGTGATACACAGTACTTATTTGTATTAAAAAGACTGGTCCATTGTGATACACAGTACTCATTTGTAATAAATAGACTTTTCCATTGTGATACACAGTACTCATTTGTAATAAATAGACTTTTCCATTGTGATACACAGTACTCATTTGTAATAAAAAGACATTTCCACGGTGATACACAGTACTCATTTGTATTAAAAAGACTGGTCCATTGTGAGACAAAGTACTCATTTGTAATAAAAACATTTTTCCATAGTGATATAAAGTACTAAACTGGAAGAAATGTGTTCAGTTGTACAAAGTTTTAGTCAAAGCACTTGGTGTTAAACACAATCTCACAGATGTCATCATCAACTCATGTTTGGACCAGTTTTAGAAAGAAGCTTTTCTGAAGGCATCTAGAATTCCAAAGGTCAAAAAGTGTCATAGTTGTGACAACTTATGTAGAAATGCCAATTACATCATTTTGTCCCAAAAATACCTCATAGTAAGATTGAAATTTGAGTATTTACAGAATTTACCAATAATAAATAAAAAAAATAGCTGAGCTACCATTCTACTGACACCTAAATATATTTCTAATCAAACAAAAAAGTGTTTCCTATTTCAAAAAGGAATCTTTTATGCATATTACCCATGCACAATTTGTTTATTTTACATTTCCACTTTTAAGAAAACATCATCTTTGCTTTTGGTTTAAGAAATCTTGAATATGAACAGTCTTTGATCAAATTGCTCCTGAAAACACTTGACTCTGAAAGAAGAAATCATATTTTACCGTCAGAAAAGACAATTTTGTTCACATTTTTCAAGAAAGTGTTATCATTTTTTCAGTCTGTTAGGAGGAAACTTTTTGTAACATATACCACATTATATCTGCTTATTTCCTACATTGGCTATACACGTTAGAGTTAAGCTGTGGACTGAGAAAAGTAAGATGGGTAACTCAGTATTAGATATCTAAAACAACAGCTATAAGTGCTGGGCCTTTTATGACTTGATTCCCTTAGACAAATGGTCATACTTTAAAGTTACTGCTAATTTACCATTTTGCCGTCGAGTCTGACAACATCTGGGATAGTTGCCCACAGTTTTCCCAGAGTTACTCCCTTTTTTCTTTTTTATTTCTCACATAAGGATTACTAATATGTCTTGTTGGAGGAATGTTTTAAATAGGATCATGATATAAGCTTAGATTATGCGCTGATTAGTTTGTAAAAATAAATCATCAGATGAAATTGATATTTGTGATAAATACTTAATTGTGATAAATACTTAATTGTGATAAATACTCAGATGTGATAAATACTCAGATGTGATAAAAACTCAGATGTAATAAATACTGAATTGTGATGAATACTCAGATGTGATAAATACTTAATTGTGATAAATATTCAGATGTGATAAATACTCAGATGTGATAAATACTTAATTGTGATAAATATTCAGATGTGATAAATACTCAGATGTGATAAATACTTAATTGTGATAAATACTCAGATGTGATAAATACTTAATTGTGATAAATAGTTAATTGTGATAAATACTCAATTGTGATAAATACTCAGATGTAGTTTTTTGTTTGTTTTTTTTTTGCTAAGACGTAAAAACATATTTCAATGTAATAAAAATATTTTTTCTGTGTAATAGTAAGTGTTCTTATGTGAAAAGATTGTATATAATTGTATTAGAAAATTTAGTACTTAGTTTGAATAATGAAATACTCAGACGTATTTTAAACCAGACAATGAAAGGTATTTATTGCAGAATTTTCACATATTCTAGACATGTTAATAATTGTTTTATTTTGGTATATAATTTTTCAATGGTTCAAAAACTGCATGAAACAATTCCAGTGTTATATCTGAAGATACAAGCCTCAAGGGCCACATATAAAATCTGACTCGAAGTCTTTGTATTGGCTTCTTACAGGCTTTGAGGGCCAATAAACTAAAAACTAAAAGTTGTTCTGTATGACAGACTTTCATACTACACAGGTTTAAAGTTATATGGTGATGTGTATACAGGGACAAAAACAGAGATCAGGATTGTACTAAGTCTTTGCTCAACAGGATTTTGTTCACACTGTTTTCAGGCAAAGAATTTATATAGAAATGAGTTTAGTAGCCAGTTTTATTACAGTTTGTATGTACTATATACAGTGAAACTGAGCTCAACATCTCATGTATACAGTGAAACTGAGCTCAACATCTCATGTATACAGTGAAACTGAGCTCAACATCTCATGTATACAGTGAAACTGAGCTCAACATCTCATGTATACAGTGAAACTGAGCTCAACATCTCATGTATACAGTGAAACTGAGCTCAACATCTCATGTATACAGTGAAACTGAGCTCAACATCTCATGTATACAGTGAAACTGAGCTCAACATCTCATGTATACAGTGAAACTGAGCTCAACATCTCATGTATACAGTGAAACTGAGCTCAACATCTCATGTATACAGTGAAACTGAGCTCAACATCTCATGTATACAGTGAAACTGAGCTCAACATCTCATGTTTACAGTGAAACTGAGCTCGACATCTCATGTATACAGTGAAACTGAGCTCAACATCTCATGTATACAGTGAAACTGAGCTCAACATCTCATGTATACAGTGAAACTGAGCTCAACATCTCATGTATACAGTGAAACTGAGCTCAACATCTCATGTATACAGTGAAACTGAGCTCAACATTTCATGTATACAGTGAAACTGAGCTCAACATCTCATGTATACAGTGAAACTGAGCTCAACATCTCATGTATACCGTGAATGGTCACAAGTTTCCTGCTTTAGGTAGCCAATGAATGGCTCCAAATATAAGTCTTTGTTTAAAAGACTTGAGAATGAGCTTTATGTGGATTTATATGGATAGTTTTTTACCGGAGACCCATCTATTGGAGCTGCCATGGTGAGATGAACGATGGAAATTTGTCTAGGATTATGATGCATTGCACAGTAATGAACGTCTGGTAGAGTGATAAATCTTGATTGTCTGAGTTAGTCCCCTTGTCTATAAATGATTATGGACAGTAAACTGACTATGTTTGGGCACTTGATGGAGGTTTATTTGTTGCCATTCCAGCTCAATACGGAACCAATCTTTATGGAACGTATTAATGATGGCATCTATCCTTCTGGTTTATCAACACAAATCATAACCAAGGACCACAACTTTCTACATAGAATATATATAGTATATATCAATGATCACAACTTTCTACATAGAATATATATAGTATATATCAATGATCACAACTTTCTACCT